AAAGAAATGTAAGTGAAATCATTAAGTAAAGAAGGTGTGAGATTGAGATAAATCCTGAATTAAATGTTAAATAATATAGATTTTATTGTATAGGTTCTAGATTGGCACTCAAATATTTATTATTACTGTTATTTTAATAACTTGTACTTATGGGGAGTTTACCATGTTCCAGTTAGTGTTCTAATTTAAAAAATAAGAAACAGAGGCTCACAGGGATTACATAAAGTCCTCAACGCGTCATAAAGAAGAGCAAGTGGGAGAACTAACATAAGCACTTTAAACCAAGTTCATTTGACTGTAACACCATATTCTTGGAAGCAGCCCACCACTCCACCACTCAGCTAAGGATTCCAGGTGGCACAAAATGCTTCTTAAGAATTAGGTTACTCTCCACAGGGAAAGAGGGACCAGACTTCAACCCAGTGCTCCAAGATGTGAATGTAACGTACCGGCATGAAGCAGGGAACCAGTAGAGACGTCTGAGGGGCAGGCCCAATGTCCAACTACATGGACAGCTGCCCCTCCCCACAGTAGAAATCCTGTGATCAGAGCATAGGGGAGCAAATGAAGGAGGAGGAAGAGAGAATGGAGTACATCCTGGCCCACCAAGGCTTGAGGACAATATCCATGCTCAGAGCAGCAGTGCACAGAGAGGACCACATGGCCAGTACCACTATGAGACACAACACCCCTCATTGACCCATAGCCCTACAGTGCACAACACTGGAGACACTGGGAATTGCGCCCGATCTGACCCCACCACACTGAGGCAAAACACTAAGGGTGTGCAACAGAACAGCAAAGGGAGCAGAGCAAGGAAGTCCCCAGGGAATACCAAAAATAGACTTTGGGGCCAGGGCCTGGCACCCCATCAGACTCGACTGGAAAACACTCCTAAAGGCCAACAAACAGTCCTTGAACTATTCACAGGCTTTTCTTTTTCTTTTTGTCATTGTTTTTTGTTGTTGTTTTGTTTTCTTTTGTTGCTTTGCTTTGCTCTGTCTTGTTTTTGTGCATATTATTATCTCTGCAGGTCTGTCTAGAAAAGATAGGCTGGATATATTAGTCTGGGTACTTTAGAGAAACAAATCTACGAAAACTCATGTATCAGAGAGAGTTTTATATAAAGGTTAAGTGCACATCAAGAAAACATTCCTACCCAGTGCTGACCAAGCCCACAAGTCCAACATTAACCCACATGTCCTACACCAGTCCACAAAGTCCTCCTCCATCTCACAAAACCGAGGCAATGATGCCGACTGCTGGAGGAAAGCCGAGTCAGAGAATGTGTAAGCATCTCAGTACTGGCAGGGGTCTCCATACGGCTGTTCCAGCACCCAGGGTTGCATCGGGGTAGGTCCTTGGGAATGCCTTGCAGGAAGTCAGCCTTGCAAGCTAAAGCAGCGAACTGCTAAGGCAGCTGCACCCTGGTATGACCATCACAAAGCAAGAGACCCGAGAACTAGAAAGGGGAAGCTCACCGAGCCATTTATACCTCCGCCCTTCAATTAACCCCACATGTGTTTATCAACCAGGTTGGCACAATAAACTAATTCAACCCACCCCTTGCCTACCTGGCACCTGTACATAATTCTTTAGCTTCACAATCACAATTAAGTAACACCTACACCTTAACCCTAGAATCCTGTGAATTTTTTCCCCCACCTATGAAAGTTTGTAAGCCAAACAGTTCATGTCTTTATCTCCCCAAATTTTGGTTATCCAATTTATATACTGCCCACTTACATCAACCCAGTTCTCTGAGAAGACAATCATATTTTTCTTTTTTCTAAAATCATTGACAATCATATTTTTTGACATGAAAAGTCTTCATTCCAGTTGGAACCTTGTGAAGTCTGCATCCATAAGCAAAGTCAAATCCGGACAGGCCATCCATAAAGTCAG